GCAGCCTACACGAGCAGGTCTACCTGCGTCGCCCTCAAGGCTTTACTAGTACCTTCCCTCTTGGGACCCAGTGGCTCCTGCGGCGCCCCGTCTACGGCCTGCGTCAGGCTCCCCGTGAGTGGCACGACACTCTCCGTGCTACGCTTGTTGACCTGCAGTTCTTTCCGTCTTCCGCAGACCCCTCACTCTTCGTTCGTGCTGGCCAGACTCCGTTCTACATCCTTGTTTACGTCGACGACCTGGTCTTTGCCACAGCAGACAGGGACGCACTAGCCTCCGTGAAGGCAGAGCTGCTGAAGAGACACACGTGCACTGACCTTGGAGAACTGCGCCGTTACCTTGGCTTGCAAATCTCCAGGGACAGAGCAGCGCGCACCATCACCCTGACTCAGTCACACTTGGTGCGCCAGGTCCTTCAGAGGTTCAGCCTTCAGTTCTCCTCTGCACAGCCCACCCCTCTGCCTGTAGACCATAGACTCTCCGCTCCAGTGTCTGAGGAGTCGGTAGAGCCCAGCGGCCCCTACGCAGAGCTGGTGGGTTGCCTCATGTACCTGATGACTTGCACTCGCCCAGATCTCGCGTACCCTCTCAGCATCCTGGCTCGCTTTGTGGCCACAGGCAGACACCGACCACAGCACTGGTCTGCCGCTAAGAGGGTTTTGCGTTATCTTGCTAGTACATCGGGCATGGGGTTAGTGTTAGGAGGACGCAAGCCAGTGGTCCTTACTGGACACACAGACGCTTCGTGGGCAGACGATGCCGAGACACTCAGGTCTACCCAGGGCTACTGCTTCAGCCTTGGCTCAGGTGCCGTCTCGTGGAGAGCTACCTGCTCCTCGTCTGTTGCCCAGTCCAGCTGTGAGGCTGAGATCTATGCTGGTGCCATGGCGGCACAGGAGCTCCGCTGGCTGACCTTCTTGCTCACTGACTTAGGTGAGCGGCCTAGCTCTGCCCCGGTCCTGTTCGCTGACGACAGGGCCATGATTCTCCTGTGTCAGGAGCCTCGACTCGAGGGCAGAGCGAAGCATATTCAGCTACGATACTTCCTCATGCGCGAGCTACAGCAGCGACGCCAGGCTCGCGTAGTACACTTGGCCTCAGGTGCCAACACAGCTGATATCTTTACGAAGGTGCTTGCGCCTAAAGATCATCTGCGGCACTGCGTACAGCTTGGTCTAGTTCCTGTAGCCTCTCACTTGCTAGGGCCTTGACTTTGTACTGTCCTTTTTATGCATACTCAGACTGGACTTGTGTCCTCTCCCAGTGGCTGGACTAGTAGTGCCGCCCTGGTCTTGTTCTTGCCTTGTCTGTACTCCGTCTGACTGGTCTTTTAGACCCTTGTCTCAGAGGTTGGACTAGTAGTGCCACCCTGATCTGCTTGTTCAGGTCATTCCCCTATGCAGTCTAGGGGGTGTGTCAAACATAAGCATAACTCATATTTGTATAGACTGTATAGGGTCGCCTCTTAGAGGGAACAACACTCTTAGGTATATACCCTTGTACTCTCTCTCTCTATTCATCCATTCTTCGGTTCTAAGAACAACACCCTTCTTGTACGTACCCCTCTCTCCTAGTCCAAACTCTCTTTTCTCTTGTCAACTTTTCTCCCTAGCTCATACTCTCAAATCATATTTATATACCATGTTTGTTAGGCTTAGTAGGTGTGCTATCTCGCAGAATCCTATTGTATAGAGTACAACTCCCTCCTTGTATCCCTCTCTCTTCTAATCTCATTCTCTTCTCTCTCGACATTTTCTCCTAGTCTAAAACCTCTCGCTACTTTCCTATGCCTAGCTCCTCCTAACCTAGTTTATGTTGTGGTAAAATCGTACTTAAGCATTTCTGTAAGTAGTGTCAAACTTATCTGAGTATGTTACTGTAGACTATACAGGCTTTTGCCTTAGAGGGTACAACTTCCTAGCTTATATTACCTTGTACTCTCCTATTCTAACCATTCTTCAATTCTGATATGGTATCACAAGTAGGTTAGGTCCCACCGCCCACCCGCCCTTCCGCCCCTAGGTCCTAGCCGCCCGTTCCCCCTAGCCGCCCGCTCCTAGTCGGCCCACACGCCCGCCCCTAGTCGGCCCCGCGCCCGCTCCTAACTGGCCCCCCGCTCCCTTTCCTAGCCGGCCCCGCGCCTGCCCCTTCGACGGCCCCGCGCCCGTTCCTAGCCGGCCCCTCATCGGCCCTCGCACCCGCTCCTAGCTGGCCCCACGCCCGCCCCTCGTCGGCCCCGCGCCCCTTCCTAGCAGGCCCCGCACCCGCCCCTCGACGGCCTCGCGCCCGCTCCTAGCTGGCCCCGCGCCCGCCCCTCGTCGGCCCCGTGCCCCCCCTCCTAGCTCGCCTTGCGCCCGCCCGTCGACGGCCCCGCGCCCGTTCCTAGCCGGCCCCTCGACGGCCCTCGCACCGCCCCCTCCTAGCTGGCCCCGCGCCCACCCTTAGTCGGCTCCGCGCCCGTTCCTAGCCGGCCCCTGCGCCTGTTCCTATTTGGCCCTGCGCGCCCGTTCCTAGCCGCCCTGGCGCCCGTTCCGCCCAGCCCTAACGCCCGCTCCTTGCTGTCCTCCGCGCCCGTTCCTAGCCGGGCCCTCGACCCAGTCCTAGCTGGCTCCCGTGCCTGTTCCCAGCCGGCCCTCGCGCCCGTTCCTGATCGGCCAAGTGCCAGCCCCTCTTCGGCCTTGCGCCCGCTCCATGTCAGCCGGCCCGCCGCCGGCCCTCCGTGCCCAGTTTGTTGCCGTGCACTGCACAGCACCGCACTGCACCGCTCTGCACCACACAGCATCGCACTGCACCGCCCTATACCGCACAGCACCGCTCTACACTGTTTCTGCACCACACTGCATCGCAGAGCACTGCTATGCACTGCACTGCACCGCACTGCAACAACACTGCACCGCTGCTGCATCGCTCCTGATGGCGGACTTCGTGCTCCGCTTCGATGCAGAGGGTCAGCCGCTCGAGTTTGACACGTGGTTGGTCGACCTCACGTCCGCTGACTGTGAGTCCGACGCAGCTGCTGCCCTTGCCCGCTCAGTCTGGCTGTCATGTGACGTCGTCGCGCAGCTTGCGATCAGTCATGCCCTCCCCCTGTCTGAGCGCCCCCGCTTTAGGTCAGTCACGACTGCGCAGGAATTTCTCGATGCCGTAGTCAAGCGCTATTCCACCCCGCCTGTTGCCTCTGTGGTTGCCTGATCCTGCTGATGCTCTTCCCTGACCTTGCATCTTTCCCTTCTGTCGCTGACCTCGCTGCTCACCTCCGTACGATAGACGCGACCTGGCGCGCTGCCTGCACTGAGACCCAGCTTACAGCCTTTCAGCCGCCCCTCTGCTCTACCCTCTACCTGCTTGCCACTCGCATCCCTGACCGTCTTGCTACTGCCCGCGACCGCTTCCTTAGCATCCACCCCGGTGACCTCACCCTCATTGACTTTGTCGACACCCTGTCTGCCATAGAGACCCGCCAGCGCTCTATCGCCCAGACCAGTGGTACTGTGCCGGTCCCTATCTTTCAGGGTTGCGCCCCCGCTCAGTGCACCTTCTCCGACGGTTCTGCTGATGTGGCTGAGTCCGCCGCTGCAGCGCAGATCCGTTCCGGGAAGGGCCGCCGCCCCAAGGCTGGGCGCGGCGGTGGGGGTGGCGGTGGAAATTTTCCAGCTACTAAGTTAACTGCTTGACCAGTAATGATTGTAGGATTTGTAATACCTGAAGGTCCAGTTGTTGAGGAACCAGATGATGGGGTTGATAATGGTTTAGTCATGATTGACGATAAACTGAATTCCAGATAGCTCTCATACCATGAAATAATTTGAAAGGTGGTGCAGGAGACCAAGTATAGAATCTGCAGACGCAAGTACTTGAAGTACCTCTAGTAACAGCCAGTATTAACAAAGTCTAACACCAGACTCAGTGTTACAACCTTGTGATACTTCAAGACTTAACCAAGGATCTTTGCTGGAATGGTAGACTAGTAGGACAGCGGAAGTCATAGAAGTTGTAAAGTGTTGACCAGAATTTACTAAAGAACAAGTTAACCATTGAAGTTGTACAAGCTACTTTTATATCTGCTAGAAGTACCTATTCGGTAATGTACCTGTTCAAAACTATTTGCGCTATGCGCTTTAACCGCTACTGAAAAGGGCGCGACTGTTCGTGTGACTGAAACGGCTTGCTGACGTAATCATCCGGACGAGCGAACGCTATTTGCTGACGTCATTCTACGGATGCTAACTACATTGTAACTCGACAATATCTATCGGAACTACTTACAGAAATGCTTAAGTACGATTTTGTCACAACAAACTTCACATCTCCCAATATGCTGCTGTGCTTGCCGTCATTCAGCTATTCAACACTTTGATATTCACTTCCGTGCTTCTCTTCTTGTTTATTCATAAAAAATTGTGTTATGAATGGAATTTCGAGTAGTGCGGAGGGCAATGGCGAAAATATGAACGAGTGAATGACAGTATAATGAAAGACAATAGGGTATACATAAAACCTAGGGTGAACCTGGAATTAGGTTCGGAAGGTTTGGAAAAGGTGTCGAAGGGCCTCGATGTGTCGAAGCGAGGTCCGGGAAGGCCCAAGAGGTCTGAATGTTCGAGTCGTACGCTCTGTAACAAGCCTTAGTAAGGAATTTTTAAACTGCGTAATACAGTCACCCACCTCGTCAAATTACCGAATGACCTCGTCACCAACACTCGCGCGCCACTCTTCGCATACAAGCTGAGTTTCCTTCCCCACCTCTTGGGACGTTCGCGAAACGCACCTTGTCGTAGCTGACCAAGCCCTTAGGGCGTGTCCCCATCGCACACTTACCGTTCAATTAGTGAGATGCAAAAGGGTACCTCGCGGTCGGGAAGGGTTCTAACACTTCACCACTTTGGAACATACAGCACAAGACTCAACCGTACTAAGTGAACCTTATAGCTAGGATCTCACGAAGCAGGAAACCAAATCCTGATGCATGGGACAGACATGCCCTGATGCGTGGGACACAGACCTTGCCTTAGAAATCCCCACTGCTCCAACTGCGGCACAATTATTGGACGATGATTTTTCCAAGGCTGGGAAGGCGAAGTCTACCTCACGAGTTTCCTCGTTGTCCCAGCGACGCAGTTTCGATGCCACCTCGCGGCCTCTTTCCCGCGATTATGCTTGCTGCCGGCCATCTCGCCAGTCCCCCACCACGACGACCGTCGTCGCACGACGACGACGTCTTCCCAGTCCGTTTCGCCTTGCGCGACGTCGCAGCGAGGCGCGTCCCTCTAGCTCCGAGCTCGAGTCGATACCATCCTCAGCGTTCACCGCTGGAGCTTCTCTGGAGTATAAAAGGAGGCATACGATAGCCATGATTTATCGCTCACTCTCACAGCATTCGAGGCCACTGCCATCTCATTTCCACCTTCAGAGCAATCTGAGTTTTCGCAATCTGAGCATCTTTCAGTGGCTTCAGTTCAGCGCGATTCTGATCCGCCCTGATTACATAGGCATTCCCGGATAGCGAGCTCACCTGCCGTTTTCCGGCTCCGAATTTCCCCATTCTCTGCTGCCTCTCTAACATCATGGCGGCCGTCAGCCTGTTGAGGCGTCTCTGCGCTGCATTGGGTGAGTGCTCCGACCTTTCCGAACGACCTTTCTGATACGCCGCTATAGTGGGTGACTGTTCCGACCTTCCGGAGGAAGCACCGTCTCGTTTTGATCCGCCGCATTTGATGAGTTGGTGCGAGTTCGCGTGTGATCTCGCCTCTCCCTGCGAATAGCCATTGGTGTTTGCTGCAATGCTGGGTTCCCGTGACATGCGCTGCAGTTCTCAGCACAACTTACCCTTTGCACGCGAAATGCGTGTCTGGGTTACTTTACTGCACACATGGTTGTCTTTTCTTTTCTTTAATGGGCCACTCGTTAGCTCGTCTCACTCCCCCTCCTCCTGTTCTCTGTCCCTCCCTAACGAACCCCTTTCGCCAGCATTCGCAATGATCGCTGCTTCCTTCACTCTGCCAGCACTTGCTGACGTCACATCCACTGGAGTCACATCTGCTGCTGTCACGTCCGCTGCTAGCCGTGTGGCAAAGCGCGCCAATGAGGCTCGCAGGCTGCTGTCTGGCGCCAAGGCACGGCAGCTGGGAGAGACAGCTTCAGTTGCTGCTGGTAACTGGACCGGGGCTGACACCACCAGTGCTAGTGGCTGCACCAGCAGCAGTGGTGACACCAGCAGCAGTGGTGACACCAGCGGCGGTGACAACACCAACGGTGGCGACGACACCAGCAGTGGCGGCGACACCAGCAGTGGCGGCGACACCAGCAGTGGCGGCGACACCAGCAGTGGCGGCGACACCAGCAGTGGCGGCGACACCAGCAGTGGCGGCGACACCAGCAGTGGCGGCGACACCAGCAGTGGCGGCGACACCAGCAGTGGCGGCGACACCAGCAGTGGCGGCGACACCAGCAGTGGCGGCGACACCAGCAGTGGCGGCGACACCAGCAGTGGCGGCGACACCAGCAATGATTGCGCCCACAGTCCAGTGGCAATGGATTGTGGTAGCATTGATGGCAACAGCGGCGATGGTGGCAGCAACGGTGGTGATGGCGGCAGCAACGGTAGCAGCGGTGCGGACGTGGCAGCGATTCTGGAGGAGCACAACAAGGCCCGGCAGGAAGTGGGCGTGCCGGACCTCGCATGGGACGAGGGAGTGGCACTCGCAGCGCAGCAGTGGGCAGCTGAGCTCGCTTCCAGTGGATGCAACCTGGAGCACGGAGGGGCTGACGGACTCGGGCAGAACCTGTACTGGAAGGCGCCTGTGCAGCTGAACAGTGCTGAGGACCGGGCGGCAGTGCAGTCGTGGGTGGCAGAGAAGGAGGACTGGACGTACAGTGCCGTGCCGGAGGGGTGTGCGGATGGCAAGCAGTGCGGGCACTACACGCAGGTGGTGTGGCGGGATACCACGCATGTTGGGTGCGCTGCTGCCCAGTGCGCGGATGGGGGGGGCATTTGGGTGTGTGACTATTGGCCGCAGGGGAACATGATTGGGTCCACTCCCTACTAGGCATTTCATGCGATGAGGGGAGGATGGAGAGCTGCTCTCACTAGCCTTGTGAGAGGTGCATGGAAGAGGGTGATGCATGGCGATAAATAATAAAGGGGCGTGGAAGTGAGACTGTCCCTACCTGCTGTCGCACCTGTTGCTTTGTTATGTTTCTGGGTTTGATGAGTCTAGTAGACGTGTTTTTTGTTGGTAACTTCATGAGCTAGCGATATGTTTCTCCGTACCAACAATCCGTTGCTCACTATAATGCATTATCTAGGCACCAGGATTATAAAAGTCCGGAAGCCGGTAACAATGTCAGCAAGCAAAATGACCACTTGATCAGCAAGCAAAGTGGTGGAGTGGGGCTGGCAGGGATTATAAAAGTCCGGAAGCCGGTAACAATGTCAGCAAGCAAAATGACCACTTGATCGTCTGAAGACACATGCTGAACAGAGCAGTGTGTGTGCATGCTAGGGATGTCAACTTATACATATTATCTATGTAGAAGTTATAGGCTAGACTGAGGTATGCTTCTAGTGAGTACAACCAACTAGTATTTGTTCTAGGTTTCCACCTCTAGTCATTATTCGTTCTCACTTTGACATGGTATCACGCGTAGGTTAGCATCCCCCACCTACCGCTTCCGCCCGTACCCTAGCTAGGCCACGTCGCGCCTCCTAGCCCCGTCGCTCCTCCTAGCCACGTCGCCCCCCCCCCCCTCTCCTGGGCCACGTCGCGCCACCCTAGCCACGTCGCGCCACCCTAGCCCCGTCGCGCCCCTCCTGGGCCCCGTCGCGCCTCCTAGCCCCGTCGCGCCCCTCCTGGGCCCCGTCGTGCCACCCTAGCCCCGTCGCGCCACCCTAGCCCCGTCGCGCCCTGCCTGGCCCCGTCGCGCCCTGCCTGGCCCCGTCGCGCCTGCCTGGCCCCGTCGCGCACTGCCCGGCTCCGTCGCGCCCGCCTGGCCCCGTCGCGCCCTGCCTAGCCCCGTCGCGCCCTGCCTGGCCCCGTCGCGCCCGCTCGGCCCCGTAGCGCCCTGCCTGGCCCCGTCGCGCCCGCCTGGCCCCGTCGCGCCCTGCCTAGCCCCGTCGCGCCCTGCCTGGCCCCGTCGCGCCCGCTGGGCCCCGTCGCGCCCTGCCTGGCTCCGTCGCGCCCGCCTGGCCCCGTCGCGCCCTGCCTAGCCCCGTCGCGCCCTGCCTGGCCCCATCACGCCTGCCTGGCCCCGCCGCGCCTCCCTGGCCCTGCCGCGCCTGCCTGGCCCCGCCGCGCATGCCTGGCCCCGTCGCGCCCTGCCTGGCCCCGTCGCGCCTGCCTGGCCCCATCGCGCCTGCCTGGCCCCGCCGCACCTGCCTGGCCCCGCCGCTTGGCCCCGTCGCGCCCTGCCTGGCTCCGTCGCGCCCGCCTGGCCCCGTCGCGCCCTGCCTAGCCCGGTCGCGCCCTGCCTGGCCCCGTCACGCCTGCCTGGCCCCGCCGCGCCTCCCTGGCCCTGCCGCGCCTGCCTGGCCCCGCCGCGCCTGCCTGGCCCCGTCGCGCCCTGCCTGGCCCCGTCACGCCTGCCTGGCCCCGTCGCGCCTGCCTGGCCCCGTCGCGCCTGCCTGGCCCTGCCGCGCCTGCCTGGCCCCCGCCGCGCCTCCCTGGCCCCGCCGCGCCTGCCTGGCCCCGCCGCGCCTGCCTGGCCCTGCCGCGCCTGCCTGGCCCTGCCGCGCCTGCCTGGCCCCGCCGCGCCTGCCTGGCCCCGCCGTGCCTTCCTGGCCTCGCCAGCACCTGCCTGGCCCCACCGCACCTGCCTGACCCCTTCGCCCCGGCTCGTCCTGCCGTGCCGCCTCGGGCTCCGTCTCCTCTGCTCGCCCGTGCTGAGGCGCTTCGCGGCCGCCGTGCTGGAGGGGGCTGTCGTTGTGTTCCTGTGGAGCTGTGCCGCTGACCCTGCACGATGGCGGACTTCGTGCTCCGACTGGACGCGGAGGGCCATGCGGTTGACTTCGCCGCCTGGCTCTCCGATCTCCGCCGCCACCTTACAGGTCAGCGCCAGGATGGCCACTCTTTGGTTGTCCATGTCGACGGCTTGCTCCCCCGTCCCCCCGCACCTGCTCCCCTCCCTGCTGATCCCTCCTCTGATGACCGTGAGACCTTCTCTACTGCTGCGCTTGCCCGTGCGGTCTGGGACTCCCGCGATGCAGTCGCTCAGGTTGCCATTAGCCACGCCCTCCCTGTCTCTGAGCGCTCGCGTTTTGCTACTATTGAGACGGCCAAAGCTTACTTAGACGCTGTTATTGCCCGCTATTCCACACCCGCGTCTGCTTCTGCTGGTCGCCTGCTCTTCCCTATGCTTTTCCCAGACCTTGCAGCTTTCCCTACCGTCGCAGACTTTGCCACTCACCTGCGTGCCCTAGAGACCCGCTATCGCACTGCCAGCACTGCTGCCCAGCTCACTGCGCTCCCCCCCCTTTCTGCATGACGCTCTATTTTATCGCCATGCGCCTGCCAGACCGCCTCGCTAGTGCTCGCGATCACTTTCTTAGCCAGCACCCGGGTGACCTCACTCTCACTGCCTTTGTCGACACCCTCACCGAGATCGAGACTCGCCAGCGCACTATCGCTCAGTCGAGCGGTGCGCCGGCAGTTTCTATCTTTCACGGTTGTGCCCCCTCCCAGTGTGCGTTCACTGACGTTTCGGCTGCGGTCGCCTCGGCGGCCCCTCTCACCGAGTCGGCTTGTGCGGTCCACCCGCAGCAGCGCTCGCGCCGCGGTGGCCGTGGTCGCCAGGGGGGTAGGGGTGGTGGTGGCAGTAGTGGTGGTGACGGTAATCCGCCTGCGGGGACTACCACTGGTGGGCAGGAGCAGCAGCCCCAGCCGCAGCAGGAGCAGCCCCAGCCGCAGCCGCCGCCCCAGCAGCAGTTACCGTCCCAGCAGCAGTCGCCGCAGCAGTGGGTCCGTCTCCCGCCTGGTTGGCCCGGCACCTCCGGAGGTAGTGGCCGTGGTGGCGGCCCGCGCAGCTTGGCGTCTACCGGCAGCTCCGGTGCTGTCACCTGCCAGTACCAGCTTCAGACCGGGCCTCTTCGCGGCACTCTGTGCCGCCTCCCGCACCCGACCGCCCGCTGTTTCCGCCGCCTCGACGATCTCTTTCGTCGTCGCTTTGGCCCGGCCCCGGACCTCCCCGACTGGCACAGCCTGCTCCGCCAGGGCGTGCCGATCTTTGAGTTAGACATGGATCAGCTAGGTGGTGCTTTGCATGCTTTGTATTCTGACACTTCTAGTTTTGCTGGATCTTATTACCCTGTGTACTCTAGTTTAGGTGTTGCACCACTGTGTAGCTTAGCCTCCCCTGCTGCGTCAGGCGTAGGACTGCCTAGGTTGCCTAGTCTAGTCGCTGCACCGGCTCCGTCCCCGGCCTCCGCCACTGCGTCGCTGTCCTTCACTCTCGACTCCGGTGCTTCTGCCTGCTTCTTCCGCGACCATTCCACGCTCACGCCGCTTGCTGCATCTGCTGTTGTCTCTCTCGCTGACCCCTCTGCGGGTCCGGTCGTCGCGCGCAGTTCTACGTCCCTTCCCTGTCCGGCAGTTCCCTCAGGCTCCCTTACTGGCCTCCACGTTCCCTCGTTCTCCAGGAACCTGGTTGGTGTCGGCTGTCTCCAGGACCTCGGCGTCACCACCACGTTCCCCGGGCACGAGCGGTTCGCTGTCTGTTCTGAGGCTGTCTCAGGTTCCCCCCTTGCGACGTTCCCCCGGGACCCGGTGTCCGGTCTGTTTACCCTAGACACCACTTCCCCCCCGGTTGGTGCGTCCTCCCAGGTCGCTGCAGCTTGCTCGTGTCGGTCCCTCGCTCACCCCTTCCTTCTCTGGCACCACCGCTTAGGTCACCCTGCTCTCCCACGTCTGCGTCACATGTCCCAGCACGGTCTTGTCTTAGGTCTCCCTGCGTCGTTCCCTGCCCTTCCTCCCTCGACTGCGCCACCGTGCACGCCTTGCGTCGAGGGTCGGCTTCGCCGTGCTCCTCACTCCTCCTCGCTGCGTCCTGCTACTGCCCCCCTTCAGACCCTGCACTTGGACGTTTGGGGCCCTGCCCCCGTCCCCGGACCGCGCGGTGAGCGCTACTTCCTTGTGCTCGTCGACGACTACACGCGCTACACCACGGTGTTTCCCCTGGAGCGGAAGGCCGACGTGCCCGACGTTCTTCTCCCGTGGGTTGTGGCTGCGCGTCTCCACCGCGGTCTCCCCGTGTTGTGTCTCCACTCCGACCGTGGCGGCGAGTTCGCCTCTGGTCGGCTTGGACAGTTCTGTCGTGCGGAGGGCATCACCCAGTCGTACACCTTGCCGGACTCGCCACAGCAGAATGGGGTTGCTGAGCGCCGCATCGGCTCGGTCATGGAGGTCGCCCGTACCTCCATGATCCATGCCGATGCCCCCCATTTTTTGTGGCCGTTCGCTGTTCGCTACGCTGCTCACCAGCTTAACCTGTGGCCACGCTCCCAGCGGCCGCAGGTTTCGCCGACCCTCCTTTGGACCGGGTCCCCCGGTGACGCGTCTGCGTTCCACGTCTGGGGCAGCCTTGCTCACGTTCGTGCCTCTGGCACGGACAAGCTCACTGCCCGCACTGTCCCCTGTGTCTTCCTCGGTTTCCCCCTGGACTCGTCTGACTGGCTTTTCTACCACCCGCCGTCTCACCGCTTCCTCCACTCTCGTGACGTCACCTTTGACGAGTCCGTCTCCTTCTACCGCCGCTTCCCTCACCGAGGTCTCCCAGTTGCCCCCCCCCTGTTCCTTGCTCCCTCTCCCCCGGTAGCCCCTGCCCCTCTCCCGCCTCGTCCTGCCCTGTCTGGTGTCTCCCACGTCACTCCCCTCCCGTCGGTTGTCCCCGTTGAGGAGTCTGCTGACTCTGGTGGTACCCCCGGTCCGTCCTTGCCGCGTCCCCCTTCCCCGGTGTTCCGCCCCCACTGTCGCAGTCACCGACCCCGCTGCCGCCGCCGTCGCCGTCGCTGCCGCAGCCGTCGCCGCTGTCGTCACCGCCGCAGCCGTCGCCGCCGCCGCCGCTGTCGCTGCCGCAGCCGTCGCCGCTGTCGCCGCCGCCGCAGCCGTTGCCGCCACTGCCGCCGCCGCTCTTGGCCCCTGGGGGTGCTGGTGTGGAGGAGGGTGTTCGTCCTGCGGCTTCTGGGGGTGCCGCTGGTGTTGGAGGGGGTTCTCGCTCTGGGGGTGTTGGTTCTGGGGGTGCTGCTGTTGAGTGTTCTGCCGACGGTCGTTCTGCCTCTGCTGGTCCGAGAGTTCC